CCCTCAGCAGTGTACTTCATTGATCTGCCTGTTCTGCTCCCCACTCTGTCTCTGGTGAAGCCTCTCACCGCCCCTGAGCCTCTGGCCTGTACCCTAGTTCTGTATGTACAAATAAAAAATAAATCTTTAAAAAAAATTTATATATATATATATAAATCTTTAGAGAGCTAAATCAACATACTTTGAGGGCAGTCATCTTTATTTGATACCTAGAAGGTTAAATCTTTCTGATTCTTGTTAAGAATAGAGTGCATCCTTGGTTAGTTTAGCAGTAAGTATTATTTAAATAAGTTTTAGATAAGACATTTTTCTTCAATGTCACCTTAGAATAATTTAAGTAGTAATATTTAGTGTGAGTATTTTGGTATGTAGTCTTACCCTACCACCACTAAGTACAGCTTCCACTAAGTACAGCTTAGTATATCTTCACCTGTTTTTGCTGTTAATGTAATTTTTGAGGGGGTAGGAAATCTTTGCTATGTGCTAAAATAGGATATTTAAACAACTGGATTTTAATTACCTCCTATTTTGGTAAATGTCGAGCTTTAATAGACATTGGTTTACCATGCCAAGCCCAGTAGCCCCCAGAGGGAGTATAAATACAAGCGAAGGAGCCAAGGGATAAGCCAGTGTTTCAGGAAAGAAAGTGGAGGAAGAGGAGGACTTTACCTTGACGCTAAATCACGAAGCCTTGGTGTTTCTCTTTTCTCTTCAGCCCTGAACTTCTAGGTCCTTTGCCTGCATCGATTCCTTCTGACTAGACGCCTGATTTATACCACCCATTACATGAACTTTTCACTGGCCTCTCAGCAGTGAGAGCAAAAATCACTTTAGCCAGGTTCTGTCTGCTCACAGCAGCTCTTTTTTCTTTTTAATCGTGTCATTTCCAGAAAGCCATTTAAACTCATTTCCTACAAACACTGTTTGTGTACACTGATGAGTTAGAAGGACAGCTCTCATTCTTCCAGTGTTACGGAAGAGAAAACCAGGACCTTCCCACTTAGCAAGAATTGTACCTAAACCAGCCAGTGCCAGGTGCATAGGAACCTGGAGCCATGAGGAAGCTCAGCGAAGAATTTGCTTTAAGGAATTTCAGGTCTTCCTATAAAAGTGGTTTTTCTCAGGTCACCAGACTCTCGTTCAGATCCCTAACTCCCTGGGTAGTGCTTTTGCTCGATTTCCCTTTGGCAAAGGGTGTGTGTGTGTGTGTGTGTGTGTGTGTGTGTGTGTGTGTGTG